GGCGGGCACGCGCCCCCGCCCCCCCCAGGGTCCCCGTGCCCCCCGCGGGGCTGTCGGCGGGCACGCGCCCCCGTCTCCTCACAGGCAGCCCCATCCCCCCGCCGGACCCCCGGGCGCAGCACTCACTCCATGGTGGCGGCGGGGGGTGGCGGCGCGGCGCTGCGCACGCTGGTCCGGGGTCGGGCAGGGCTAGAGAGCCATGGCGCGCGGCGCTGGGTGCTGTGTCTGTGTGTGCGGAGAGAGGCGGAGTGAGGGGGCGGCGAGGAGGGGCCGCTATCTATACCGCCTCCCCCCCCCCCGGCCGCATTACAGCCCGTGTCCCTCCGCCCCGCCAGCGGGGCCGTGCGTCCACCAGCCCCCTCCCCCAAACCCGGCCCGCCCCCGCGCTGTGCCTCAGGGCTGCGCGGCTCCGGCTCCCCGTCGCCCCCTGCAGCGCCCCCGGGGCGGGAGCGAGAGGCCTATTTTGCGGGGGGGGCAGGACCCAGCGGGCGGTGACTGGCCCGATTGCAGCAGGGTTGCATCAGCTGTGGGGAGAAGGGGGGCAGCGCTTGCCGCTGATTGGCTGCAGTGCGCCGGGAGCGAGGTTGCGATTGGCTGCAGGGAAAGCCGGGCGGACCTCTCCCCCCCCACTCCCCTTAAGTGCTAGGTGTTGTCAGATGTCACCTGGGACAAAGTGTCTGTCTGGTCCCCCACCCCCCCTTCCCTTCCACCAGTGACCAGCTCTTACTATCCCCAGCTCCCCTGAGCAGCCCCCCAAACCTCATCTCCCTGAGCATCCAGTTTGCCCCAATACCCCCCGCCCCCCCGCCCAGCCCCTGAGCACCCAGTTCCCCTCCGCACCTCTCCGGGGCACCCTGTGCTCCCTGTCCAGCTCCCCCAGCACCACTCCCCCAGCACCCAGCAGGAAGCCAGGGTCCCCCAACCCCCATGATGAGCACACTGTACCCCTCTCTGGCTCAGGAGAGTTCTGAGTTGAGGCCAGTATCAGCTCTGTGCTGCCAGGGCCCCCATCCCAGTGGGGAGCAGGGCCTGCTAGCCTTGGGCAACCCTGCCCTGCAGCACTGCCAGGAGCTACCCTGCTCTGTGCTCCTAGGGTGACCAGACAGCAAGTGTGAAAAATTGGGACGGGGGTGGGGGTAATAGGATCCTATATAAGAAAAAGACCCCAAAATCGGGACTGTCCCTATAAAATCGGGACATTTGGTCACCCTATGTGCTCCTGGCCAGTCAGGTGCGGGGCTGAGGGAGGGGGACACGACAAGGAGCATCCAGCACTGGAGCCCCCATACGGGGCATAGGCTGGGTGAGTGCCTGGGGGCCTCCCTCAGGTCCTGGGCTGCTGAGCTGGGCACACGGCACTGAGCAGCCTGTGACCTGAACCAGGGCATCGTGTCTCCATGCAAATACCAGGCTCAGGCCCCCACCAAGGATAGGGCTGGAGCTTTCCTGCATGTCTCACCCCACCCTGGGCTGATTCTGGTCTGTGGACTCTCATGTGTCCAGGGGAGCAAAAGTCCAGCTGAGCCTGCTGTGTGATAACACTGATGAGTGCCAGGAGACGGGGGCATGGATTAGTGCAAACCATTCTCCTCAGCGCACCCCAGCAGCGTGGGGAGAGCGCAATGGGTGAGCAATGAGGCATGGGATCAGGGCATCAATGGGTGTGTGGGAAACTAGACCTAATTGGTGGGCAAAATACCGAGTTCCACCTGCTCCGCCTTGGAGGTCCGCAGGAAAAGACTTTGGGGGGATCAAAATGGTGGTCTGCAAGGAGGGAGTTTCCCTATCCTAGCTGCCCCCCACCCATCTCCTGGGACCCCAGGATCCACCATGGCACCATTGCATCTTCATCATCCTGATCCCAAGAGACACGTCCTGACTGTGCCCTCACTAACATCACCGCTGGCGTGCCGCAGGCGAAATCCTGACTCCCCACTCGGGATGTGAGAGTTGGGTGCCTGCTGACACCCTCCGCCCATCCTGTGGTCACTTTTCTTCCCCGCTCCCTTCCGGCTTTTCTTCCCACTGTGGGTTTGTCTCGTTTTATCTTCTAGGGATCGGACTTTCACAGCAGCGACGCCGCCAGCCCAGCCCAGCCCAGCTCACTGCGTCTCTTCTCCCCGAAAGGGCCGTTAGTGCCATCTTTGGTATAACCCTTGGGGGAGGGGGTCCCTATGAAAACTCTCTCCTGCTAACGGGAAGGAGAACAGGGGCTGTGGGCACCCTGACAGCCCGACTGGTGCGGTGCTTCCCTTCCCTTCTGTGCTGTATCCTCAGGAACAGGTTAAGCAGGTTGTCAGTGCCCGTTCTGGAGGACCAGGCAAGCCAAGGTCTCT